TGGAAATTACCAGCATATACCAGTTTATTCAGCCTGCCTTTTTTTTTTTTTTTGAGTTGGAGTCTCACTCTGTCACTCAGACTGGAGTGCAGCACCGCAGCCTCTACTTGCTGGGCTCCGGAGATCCTTCCGCCTCAGCCTTCCAAGTAGCTGGAGCTACAGGCGAGCGCTATCACACCCGGCTAGTTTTTTGATTTATTGTAGAGATGTGGTCTCACCAAGTTGCCCAGGCGGGTCTCGAACCCACAGGCTCAGGCAATCCACTCACCTCAGCCTCCCAAGGAGCGGGATTACAGGCTGAGCCACCGAGCCCGGCTCAGCCTGGCTTTATAAATTGTTTTTTTTTTTTTTAAATCTATACACTCAGTGCCCTCATGGAATAGTAGATAGATGTCTTTCTTTTACTTACCAAATGGACAATTTTAGAGAGAAAGGCATGAACCTTTTAGTCAGATCCTCACTTCTAGCACTTTGTGAACTTGGAAATGCCTTATTTTTCTGAACCTCAGTTTTCTCATCTGTAGAGTTGGACTAATAATAATTTTCTCCCACAGTGTATGGCTCAGAATTAAATGAACTGATATATGTAAGGCATTTAGCATGTAGAGGGATCTAAAAATGACATCTTAATTTTATAAAAAAATATTATATGCTGAATAATAAGATTGTGTCCAAACTAGTCACTATATCTTCTCATTCCATTGTACTATATTTTAGGAAATTCTAGGTTAATTTTAATATCAGAATTGGTGAGGCCTTATGATTAATTTTGTTTAAACAGGAAAGGAAGTTAAAATATAGTTAGTATTGCCAGATATGGAAGAACAACCACAACCTAGGTTTCCTGACTTACAGACCAATATTCATATTCATACAACTTGGTCTTTTAAGATTATTTGTTAAGTATGTGTGACCTTGGAAAAAAACAAAAAACTATTTAGCAACCATTTCTCAGCATGTATTAATAGAAGACATATTTTTAAGACATTGGATCACAATAGCCTTTTAAACACATTTATGCTGCAAAACTATATTTTTTAACATCTGAAAAAACCACCTTATGATAGGCCTACTACTTGCTACCCAGTGTTGTAGGTAGGATTCTGTTTCTTTTGCAGCTGTTGTTCTTTGAATCATATGTGCCTACTCTAGGTGATACTAGTAGCTTCAACAGAAACTATGAGCTCTGCATTCCATGGGTGAAGGGGCATTGGAGTTTAAGATTGAAATTATTTTGTATACTCACCTTGTATTTCACTTAAGTCTTCATTATTTTTGATTAAATTAGATGTAGGTTTTGGCTTGTGGAGTCTTGCTTTCATTATAATCCCATGAATCAGTTTTATAATAATAAATACTTTTTGTAAATACTTAACCTTGTATTAATAACATAAAGGTAGTATGTAGTATACATTGTAATTTGAGATTTATTCTCTATAATGTCAGTGTTTCCATGCAAGCATAGTTTACTTTTAAAAATATGTATGTATGTATTAAAGAGAGTACTACATGGCATCATCTTTTCTAATTTCCCTAACTGATGTGGATTTATATTCCAGGAACCCTCACTGCTATAAATTGAAGGGTAGGTGGCACTAAAAGAGCCTTTACTTTTTATTTACTTGTATTGCAAAGTCATGTAATAGAGTAACTACCCAACTCTTGAAAATCCCTAGTTTGAATACTGTGGATTTGCCTTGCTCAGCAACTGGGAAAGACTTTCCAGCCTACAACTCGATTTCAGCTGAGCAATGAAAAACATGGAAGTGAGTGCCAAAGTATTCTATTCTATTGTATTCTGATTCACTAGTTTCATGTGGGGAACAGGATGGAAAGTTACTACATACTAGTATTAGGGTCCTAATGAAAATGACTAGAATAAACATTAAATAAAGCAATGTATATTAGATTGCTTTTTGGTCCTTGTTTTAAATATTCCCTTTCACATAGAAAATACTGTTACTTTGTTTTAAGTATTTTTTTCTACTTCTGCTCAAAACTATTTTTTTTTTGCTTACTGTTGTATCAAAGTTGTATTGCTAACAAGTTACAGATAGCATTAGTTTTGTTTAGAAGGTTGTTAATAGCTATATTGAAGTACTAGTTAACAGACACATTGTAGAGTTAGGTAGGTATTGGAGTAGTACTGGTTGGTTTATCTCCAAATTTCAGGAAAAAGTGACTTTGGGGGGCTTAGTTATCATTCCTAACTTTGAGAGTTTGTTTGTAAGTTTATGATTTTAACATTTGAACTGTTAATGTTCCAAAACATTTAAAAATTAAAGCATTTATTGACACCTAAACGAGAGTTATTAACACTATCTTATTCTTGGGGAAACAGTCATTTAGGCTTATGATTTGTTTAAGATCATATGGTTACATTTATTTCTGGATAAGCAGATACAAAGTCAGGTGAGGTTTTACTTTTGACATTGTCTTGATGGCCATCAAAATTTGTGAATCTTGTATCCCATGCAGGCATCAGAAGATTTCAGTTATAATTAGGAGATACATACATTTGTAGTTTAGCTATTAAAACTAGGGACTAGGATAAAAAGATAAATAAGGTCTAGTTTTTGAGGATTCAACTAATTCATAGTCTAAATGGGCATGTCATATATTTACTATGATATATTTTAGAAAAACTGATAGACATTATTCAGTAGTGTTCAGTAGAAGAGGAAGGCAAGGAAAGAAAAATTATTATTATTATTATTTTACTATTCACTATGTTTCAGGAACTAGAGAACTTTATGTAAGCTATTGTATTTAACATTATCCATTGAGGCTTGAGGATGTTTTCCAAGGAAGTAACAAGAGCTTGACCTTGGTCATGATAGATGAATAGCTGTTTGGGAGAAGAGCAGCAGAGAGAATAAGAGAACACTAGACAAAACACTTGAATGTCCATATATATGGTGAAACAAAACAGCAATGATTCCGCAATATGTTGACATCCACTGTGTACTAGACACTGTGCTAAACACTAAAGATATACCTGAATGATAGAATTGTGTTTTAATAGTCAGATAATAGGTCATTTCAACTAGTATAGTAAGTACCATGTTGGAAGAGATGACAAAGGTGCTTTGTGAGCACATGAAAATGTTACTTAACCAGAATTTGGACAGTTTTGCCTGGGTTTGAGATAGAGAGATTGCGACTAGCTAGATTATAGGGTGTTGATCAGAAACCTGGGTATGGGAATATCCATGACTACCTAGACTCTTGACCTTGGACAAATTACACCATTTTTCTAAACCTTCTCTGTAAAATGGGGATAAGAGTAAAGCTAGCTAACTTTTAACTCTTACTATGTACCAGATGTTGTGCAAAGTGCTTTATATAGGTGATTTTATTTAGTCTTTGTATCATGCCTTGGAGGTCAAGGCTATTGCTAGCCATACCTATTGCTAGCCATACCTATTGTATAACTAGGTGGTCAAACCATGATATGAAGCCAGGTAGGCTGACTTGACACCTGATATCTAGCTGTTAATAGTGCCTAATGTATAGAGTTGTTCTGAATAATATAATGTAAGCAAGCAGTTTACTATGCACAACATTATTGCTGACACCTGGTTCTATCATTAATAATACAGGAGATAACAGACAAATTTTAAAGAGTAAGTCCTAATCTTACTCTGTCACCAAGACTGGGGTGTAGCGGAACAATCATGGCTCTCAACAGCCTCGACCTCCTGGGCTCAGGTGACCCTCCTGCCTTAGCCTCATGAGCAGCTGGGACTACAGACATGTGCCACCATGTCCAGCTAATTTTTTTATTTGTAGAGATAAGGTCTCACTGTGTTGCCTAGACTGGTCTCGAATGCCTGGGCACAAGCAATCTTCTTGCCGTGGCCTCCCAAAGTGCTGGGATTGTAGGTGTGAGTCACTGTACCCAGCTTGAAATTTTCTAACAGGAGTGTGTGTAAAGGGATCAAAGTTTAGAGAGAAAAGAGACTGTATTCATCCATTTGTTCAGGGAATGCTTGTTTTATACACTACTTTGGATTCATTACAGGTACTATGTTAGTTGCAGGAGATACAGGATGAATAAAGATATTGATCCTTACTTTAAGAAGATTCTGGGTTTTTACACATTTTGTCTAGCATGAAAGATAAATATAACAACAATTATCTCATAGTACAAATGTTCTTTAAATATCATAATGTGGTTAAATTCTTGGTGTTCCAAGAACATAGAGGGGGGAGCATTTTAACTATTTAAAAGATGATTAAAAAAGATGAGTTAAGAGATACCGTGGAATTAAGAGAGTAGTGGTGGGAATAAAGAAAATAGATTTGAGATTTATTTTGGAAGTACCATGGACAGGAATTAAAGACCGATTATGGGCTGGAGGGCTGACATTTAGACCAACAAATTAAGCCTTTTACCAGGTGTGGTCCAAGGAACTTGGTGATGACTTGTAATAGAAGAGAAGGGACATCTTTGGGATCAAAGTCATTACTTTGATATTGGATATGTTGAATTTAAGGTACCTGTGATAATACATAAATTGAAACGTCATTAAACAACTTGAAAAATAGAACTGGAATTTAAAAGAGAGGTGGATGCTGAGAATATAAACTAGGGCATATTTATCATGTAGATTGGTAGTTGTAACCATGAAAACAGATGAAATTTAACTAAGAAGACTAAAGTCAAATTTGGAAGAATCCCTATATTTCATGAGTGGACAGAAGGGGAATAAACTAAGGAAGTTAGAAGATGCAATCAAAGAAATAGGAAATAAACCAAAATAATAGAGTTAGGGAAGTTAAGGTAAGAAAATATTTTAAAGGGGAACTGATCAATTGTGACAAATACTATGAAGAGGTCTAAGGGTATTGCATATCATTTTAAATGCTTTTTCGTGTTTTCTACCTTAACTTATAAAATAGCTATCTTCAAAAAAGTGGTTATTTGAATATATGTAAAGACTTGTGCCTATTTTGTCCAAAATATAAAAAATGTATTTTTCCCTCTTACAGTATAGAACCTCAAGGTCTTTGTGACAATGGAAACCAAAAAATTGATTGGTAAACCACTTCAACCAGCAAGACCTGTTCGTCATCTGACTTCTCCCCCAGGTGACTAATGTAATGTACAGTGCTTTAAAAATTAACTTGTCAATGGCTAATTAGTTCGTGAAAGGCTAAATAATACATAAAGTAATTGTTTCAGATATATATTTAAATAAATCGACACTTAAAGATATTTGAAAACTAAGAGTTTACAGGTATTACCCCCCCCAAAAAAGATTCTTCATTATCTACCAATCTATAGTCTACAATAAGGTAGACAAAGGTAGGAAGAATAGTTCCTGACTGAAAGTAACTTTGTGTGAGTATTTTTTTCCTCATGTCTCATTTTCATAGTTAACTGGTTTCTGTGAGAGTGGTACTCCCAATACAAATTGTTCCCTGTGATTATGATCACTACAGGACAATCATGCTGGAGAAAGAATTAACCTTTTAAAAAACTTAAAGACGGACTTAAATGCAAAAAAAAAAAAAAAAGATTAGCACTAAAGAAGACTTAAAGATTTTGTAGTGGTTATGTCATACTTGTACTCTGATAGAGATTTTGACTGTGTTTGAGCTGGAATATATCTAATTTCAGATAATCCATACCAAAAAAATCTAAAATTAATTGTTTTTCTCTTGTCCATAAAACTATTATTTTGTTTACATTCCTGGAATACTTGGTATTTAAATCCTAAATTGGAATATTAACTTGTTAATTCTATTCATTACTTGTTGCCAGAATGGTTTCTGTGGTCTGACTTAAGTGATATACATATAACTTATTTAAATTCTCTTTAGTTTATGTATTCAACAAAATTAACTTGCTACCTAGAAAAAGGAAAATACAGACATTTTATTGGGTACAAAGATGAAACAGAAATGGCACCAATTCCCACCCCCATTTGTCTTCCATCCTTTGTTCCTGCAAGGAAGATTTATCTCCTCTTTGGTCATGTTTGCTCTCAAGATGGCTTGACTTAGGACAGATAAATTAATGAATTTTCCAGGACCATAGCTTATTAATACTGATCCCATATCCTTTTAGGATACTGGAAGCAGTTGTGTGGGATAAAGTCTCAAACTTTATCCTAAAGGGAGGAATGTAAAGCCATTGGCAGCAACTCTTTTCTGTAACCAGCCTTTTTCTAGCACCTCTCCCTCCCATCTCTACAGATCCAGTTTTTCACTGATCCCTTCCCTCTAAGTCTGTTACATGGATAAATGGGAGGAGACATGAGATTGTTAGGTAGCCCTTATCTCTCATTTAATTATATCCTCTTAAGATTCAGAGGACATAGTAGGGATTTATTAGACATAAAAGTTTGGTAAACCAGAAATTAATTTTTGTCTTTTCAACACACTTCCATATACTACCTTGTCAACTCAAATCCCCAAAGGAATCTTTTTCTTCAAGACTCAGATTGAATTTTTTCCTCTTGTGAAGCCTTGCTGATACCCACAGACCTACTCTACTTTCCCCTAGAATCTTCTCCAAATCTCTTATGAAATTTACCATTTATCAAATTATATTATAATTTTTATGAGCTTGCCTTTTAAAGTAGACTAGAAACTCCAATCTCTGAACTCTTTTCATGTTTATATCCCTTAACACAGCAGCTGGCATTTCATAGGGTTGGATATAGGTTTGTTAAATAAATGAACTATCAGAAAACATTTCAAAACAGTACCAAGAATATTCTGGATACTTAAGCTTTTTAGGTGATATTATATTGTGTATTGAAGTAATGGACATTTAAAATAGTTTTTAATTTTTCTCTCCCTAACAGGAACAGTTTTCCCTTTCAACTTTCAAAATGAATATCCATGCAACACTCAGTGTTTACAAAGTGGAGTTAGCAGAGTAAGTCTTAAAGTTATAATACAAAGAAATATTATTGACTGGAAAGTAACATTTGTTAGATGGCTGCTATGTGCCAGATACTGTGCTAAGTACTCTATGTACTTTATAAAAATTTGTGATATATTTCAAGCATATACTAAAGAGAATATAACACCAATGTACCTGTCACCCAGCATTTTCAAATCTAAGCATTTTACAGTATTTGTTTTAAACAATTTTTAAACCCTGTGAGATAAGTTAAAAACCATATATATAATATATATGCCTCCAATATCCCATTTCCTTCCTGCCCTACCCAGAGCTAACTGTACTCAATTTGTAATTTTTTTCACGAATGTACTTGTACTTTTGCCACAGTAAATATAATTGTTTTAACTGTTTTACAATTTTATATAACTAATGTTGAACCTACATGTATGTTTTACATTTTTTCTTTGCATTAATGTTCATATTAAAAGACTGGATTTTTTTGACTAAGTAAACGAGTTGCAAAGTTTAAATTCAAAATATACAAAATGGCATTTAGTGAAGTTTCCCTCCAATCTCTGTTCCCCAGTGACCTATTTCCTCTGATCAGAAGGATCCATTTCTGGTACCAGTTTCTTACCCAGATACTTTCAGAAAAGACAATGCATGAACACTTCCACACTACCTGGTCAACTCATAAATGGAATATTAGGCAACTTTGCAATTTATAAAGCAATTTGATATGTACTGTTACAGAAACTTTGCAATTTATAAAGCAATTTGATATGTACTGTGACTCTGCCACATTTTGTCCCATTTTTTTTTGTTGATGGACATATGTTTTATTTTATATTAAATGCTATAATTTCTACCATTTATATGTTTCATTTTATGCATTTTGAGAGGTGCTCTGTGGTATAAAATTGGAGTAGAGTTACTATGTTAAAATATTCTTACCTGCAGTTTTATACGATACTGCCAAATTACTCTCCAAAGTGATATATGAACATTATATGAGGGCTTTTGTTTTTTATGTGCTTACCTTGTTACTATCAGACTTGAACACTGGGTGAGACAATTGATGAGATATATATCTTTTGATTGGCTTTAATTTTTAATTCTCTATTACTTGTGAAATGGAGCATCATTTCATATGTTCAGTTTGGCCGCCTAGATTTCCTCTTTTATGAATTACCAATTTGTATCATTTGCCTGTTTTTCCTGGGTTTTCTTAAATTTATATACTTTCAAAATATATTCTGGAATCTAAGTATTTTTCCTATGTGCATAAAAATATTTTTTTCCCCAGGAATATGGTTTGTGAGAGAATTGTTTTGTTTTGTGTGGTGGCTTTTGATAAAAAACTTTAAATGTAATGTAGTCTTACTATCAGTGTTTTTCTTTATGATTTCATTTTTTGTTTAAGATGTCTATCCATTCCTAAGATCAAAAGATATTTTCCTACATGTTCTTCCAAAAACTTTAAGGTTTTGATTTCATGTTTAGACACATAGTCTACCTGAAATTGATTTTTTGTATGGTATAAGATAGAAATCTTTTTTCATATAGACAACCAATTGTAAAGCATAATTCTTTGCATAAGTCATCCTTTCCATGCTGATTTATAGTGTAGTCTTTATCATATACATTTTATATAAATATATCTGTTTCTACGATCTTTATTCTGTCTTATCGATCGTCTTGTATATCTTTATAGCAGTATCATAATGTCTTAATTACTCTTGCTTTACAATTAGTTTTCTATAAGTCACTGAAATGTTTTATTTATTCCAGCAGCTATCACTTCCCTAATTAATGCAGCAGTAGTATTAATAACTTTTTGGAACTGTTGACCTTTTAGAAACTTTGTATGTAAAAAAAGAATACCTTAATATTGCAATTTTGTAGAGAAAAATCAAATTATTCAATCAAGTTACCACTAAACTTATAATTTTGTCTGCTGTTTTAATTATAATGCAAAAGCTACCAGAACCTATGTCAGAGATACTTTATGAAAATTTTACACCACTTTTATTGAGATATAATTTACATACAGTAAAGTGAACCCATTTGTTCAATGAATCTTGACAAATATTTATCCCATGTAATGAACCCCACAATGAAGCTACAGACCAATTCTATCCTGCAAAATGTCCTTATATCCCTTTGTAATCATTACCACTCCCACTTACTCCAGTCCTTCTTCCTGCCCCATATGTCAACTGATTTGCTTCCCTTAACTGTAGATTAGTTTTGACTGTTCAAGAATTTCATATAAATCCAATCAGATACTATATATTTCTTGGTGCTGGCTTCTTTTGCTCAGCATTATGTTTTTGAGATTTATGTTTTATATATCAGTAGTTCATTTCTTTTTAATGTGGAGTAATATCCTACTGTATACATATACAACAGTTTGTTTAGTCATCAATTGATGAATAGTGGATTGTATCTAGTGTTTGAATACTATGAATTATACTGTTACAGACTATCATGCACAAGTTTTTGTGTGGACATACATACACATAATATCCAGGAGTGGGATTGATAGTTCATATGATAAGTTTCTTTAGCTTTAAAACATTGCAAACATGTTTTTAAAGTGGTTGTATCATTTTACATTTCTACCAGTAGTGTGTGAGAGTTCCGGTGACTTCACAGCCTCACCGACTTAGTATGGTCAACCTTTTTATTTTTAGCCATTTTAGTGTGTGAGTAGTAGTATCTCATTGTATTTTTTTCCTAATAACTAATGAGACTGAGCATCTTATCATGAACTTCTTTAATATTTGAACATTCTTTGACCTTCTTTTCCAGGCTTTTTTGGGGGGAGAGGGTGGGGTGTGAAGTATCTGTTCAGATCTTTTTACTTGTTTCTTTTATTAGGGTTGTTTGTCTTTTTATCATTGAACCATAAGAACTTGTTGTCAATCAGTATATCATACATACATAAATTTATTTCTAAACTCTCTCCTATGTTCTATTGATTTGTGTTTATCTTTATGCCAACATCACACTTTATAATCTACTGTAGTTTTAGATAAGTCTCAAAACTAGGTAGTAAAAAGATACTACCTTTGTTCTTTGTAAAATTTGTCTTGGCTATTCTAGATCCTCTGTGTTTGCAGATGAATTTTAAATGGGCTTGTCAATTTCCACCAGAAAGCCTATTGAAATTTTGATAGAGCTATAGATTAATTGACATCTTAATAATAATGTCTTATAATCTATTAACATGACAAATTTATTTATGCTTTGTATTTTCCAGAAGAGGGACCTTGAACATCTTTTGTCAAATTTTAAGTGTTTCATATATTTTAATACTATTGTAAATGAACTTTAAATTCTACTTGTTGGTTGCTAGGATTTAGAGATACAATTTGTATCTATATATTGCTTTTGTTAAACTCAATTATTAGCTCTAGTAGCTTTTTTGTAGAGTTCTCACCCTTCTTATGTTCTTATGATGATAATCTTACTTTCGCTTGTACTATATAAACACACAATACATATTATTATTTTTGCTTTCATTTGTTATCTTTTAAATTAACTTTAAAAACTAAAAGATGGAATTTTGTTTTGTCTCCATTTATTCCATTCCATCATTCTTTATTTGTGTAAATCCATGATTCTACCTGATGTTATCTTCCTTTTGCATTAATAACTTTCTTTCATCTCTATTTTAAAAATTATTTCCTCATAACAAAGTACTTGAAAACTTTGGCTTAAAACAGTAACTTATTACTATCTTTCATGGTTCCATGGGTTGATCGGGCTCAGATGGCCATTTCTCCTTTTAGTTCTGTCATGTAGTTGCAATCACATAGTGTCTAGGAAAGGAATCTTTTAAAGACTTGACTGGGCTGGATGACCAAAATGGCTCACTCATATGGCTGACAATACTATCTGTTGGCTTGGAGCTCAGCTGGGGCTGTGGACTGGACAAGAACCTGCAAACGGCCTTTCCATGTGGCTTGGGCTTCTTACCAGATTACACCTGGGTTCAAAGACCAGTGCTCCAAGACACAGGAGGTAGAATCTGCCAGTCTCTTAAGGCCTGGAATTGGAAACTAGCACAGTGTCACTTCTGCTATGTTAGATTGGTAGGAGCAGTCACATAGCTTGCTCAGATTCAAGGGGAGGAGATAGGGAATTTACCTCTTGATGGAAGGAGTGTCAAAATTTGTGGCCATCTTTGATCTCTTTAAGAGTCATTTGAATTTCCTTTCATCTGTATTATCTACCAGTTCTTGTCCTCTGCCCACTCTTTCTATAGGCTTAAAAAAATTGTTTCCTAGTAGCTCCTTTAAAGAAAACAAACTGTGATATGAGTTACAACTTTTTTCCTGTTTATCTTTTTATCTTTTGATATTGTTTATAAATCTCATACTTTAAATTTTCATTTTAGGAATGAAGATTGATATGCATTTGTCTCTTCCTATTCTCTTTTGTGATCTCATTGGTATACATTTGTTTAAGATGAGTGACAGGCTGAAAACATTTTTGTTGTAAAATACAAAAAGGCTAACTAGAATATCTGGGAATATTGGGAATTGTACACACATTGCAAAGAGCACTTGAAAAAAAAAAAAGGCTGGGCTCAGTGGCTCAGCCTCTAATCCCAGCACTTTGGGAGGCTGAGGCAAGTAGTTGCCTGGGCAACTTGGCGAGACCCCATCTCTATAATAAATAAAAAAATTATCTAGGTGTGGTAGTGCATGCCTGTAGTTCCAGCTACTTGGAAGGCTGAGATGGAAGGATCACCAGAGCCTAGTAGTTTGATGCTAGGGTAACCATGAGCGTGCTACCGCACTCCAGCCTGGGCGGCGGAGTGAGACTCCAACTCAAAAAAGAAAAAGAAAAAACAAAACAAAAAAAGAAAGACCTTGGTGCTTATCTTGCTTTAGACAAGCCCATTTAACTTTTTCTATTTTCTAAACTAGCCATATTATTCCATAATTCTCAGCACAAAGCTGTTCTTTTATTTCATAAACATCCATTTTTCATTAGTCAACTAAGCTCTTCTAATCCTTCAAGTGTCAGTTGAAACATCATCTCCTATGTAAAGCCTTTCCTGACATTTCTAAGCCAAGTTTGATATTCTTAGTCCCCGTGTAGAAAACATATCTTTATTATAGAACGTTTCCAATTTTACTAGGACTTGTTTGTTTGTTTTTTCCTGTATTTTGGTTTGTGAGCCTCTGAAAACAGATACTGGAATGTTAAGTTTATCTTTGTATTCTTGCTACAAAGCACAGTGCTTGTCATGTCATAGGCACTCTGTTAGATGAATGGGTTCAACAGGGCCACTGCCGCCCATTTGGCACCTTTGCAAGAATTAAAAGTGAAACAGGGTTATAGAAAAATACAGGTTTGTTAGAATAAGATACTTGGCTTCCATTTGCTAGAAAATGTACAACATCTGTGTTGTGAATGGTACTCCTTTAGAGATGTACAGCCTTCATAACTACATGTGGTAGCCTGGACTTTCACAATCTAACCCAACTGTCTCTTGTCTCTGTACTTGGTCACCAAATCCTCCTAGTCCTGACTTTCTTTGCCTATAACATGGTGATCATAATACTTGCCTTATTTCCTTATAGGATTATAATTAAATGAGATAACATATAGATAATCACTATGTAAAACTTTCTGGTGGCATACTTTTTTACATTATAAAATATTTGAAATAATCAACATTTTCAGTTTTTAATATGTGCAGACATGGCAAAGTACAATTTTTCCTTTGATTTATATCTTGCATTTAAGTGGATGTTACAAAGTTAGTGAAGTGTGCATATGCTAAAATTTTCAGATATAAGAAATCAATTTTTTATTCTTAGAATATCATATTATAGTTAATTAAATTCAACAATCAGGAAGAACTTTGGAGGTCCAAAATCTTTGACATTTTCTTTTTTTTCCTATCTCTACTTAAAAAATAAACAACTCTACTAAAACTTGTTATTTTAAATTCTTATATCTCAATAGTGTAGAATTATCACTTGAGTCTTTTTTTGCCTGGACTGGTCTTGAACCAGTGGACTCAAGCAATCCTGTCACTTAGGCCTCCCAAAGTGCTGGGATTATAGGCATGAGCCACCGTGCCTGGCTTATCTCTTTAGTCTTAATTTGTCTGAGTTAGATCAGTAGTTCCTCTGCCTTTACCTTGGTAACATTTGCAGAAATTTTAATGAATGCTTGCAACTTGCCAAAACAGTGATTGATGGAGCAGAGATACTTATTTTGGGGGAGGATAAATGTCTCAAAAGAAACCTATCTTAGTGAATTACCTTGGTCCTGGGATTTTTTTGCAAAGTGATTTTTGTCAGCACAATAGGAGATCACCTCTTAATGGTAGATTATATTGACTAAATTTGTGAAACTGATTTATAAAATCAGTAAACCAATTGTTTTCTACTGAGAAATCTTCCTGTCTTGTGTCCTGGATTTCTCTTATTGCAATAACTGGTCTATTATTTGCTTCTAAGGAGATGGTAGTCATAATGTTTCTTGGTGACCATGGAATCTGAAGAAAAGGATTTAGTTAAAAATGGACTTTTAAAATGTCATCAGATTAGTTATCCAATCTCATAACAAAGATGGTCTTGCACGTGGGCCTGGAAAAAGCTCTGGGATAAGGCTTCTTTCTCTTCAGAACGTTGAGCTCTGCCAGTGTTTCTGATTTTCTTCTTCTCATTGGACAAATAATTTTGTTCTTATTTCCCCCATTTCCAAGGTGTTGGGCAAAAAGAGTTTATATGCTTATACATTGACATCAGAATCTACTTCACATAAGATTTTAAAAGTAAATATCCTAGTATTATTGCAGATTTTTGTGTATAAAAAGGTGTTGTTTTCATCAATAGATATTTCTTTCTGAATGGTGTTTTTTTGCTAGGAAAAAAAACTTTGACCAAGTGTGGTGGCTCATGTCTTTAATCCTAGCACTTTGGGAGGCTGAAGTGAAAGAATTGCCTGAGCCCAGGAGTTCGAGACTAGCCTGGGAAACTTGGCAAGACTTCATCTCCATAATTAATCAAGAAAAATTAACCAGTAGTTCCAACTATTTGGAAGGCAGAGGTGGAAGGATCACCTGAGCCCAGCAGGTTGAGGCTGCGGTGGCCGTGAGTGTGCTGCTACACTCCAGCCTGGGCAACAGGGTGAGATGCCAACTCAAAAAAAAAAAATGTTTTTTAATGACTTTGGAATTAATTATCTTTAGGGCCATATAGTTCATGTTTCACTTTATGTTCCCTTTCAAAAATAATTATAATTTATGGCAAAAAATAATTATAGATATATGTGAATATGTTTTGAAATATATTTTTGTTGCTCATTTTTAATAAGCAGACTTTTTATGGTAGCTTATCATTTAGCCCCAAATATGCCTTGCCTGATATTTTTATTATTAGGAAACTGTTTGAAGGTGATTTTTAAAAATTATATACAATTTTAAAACCTGAATTTAAAAGTACATTTTCTTCTTATTCAACAGTGTAAGACGAATGGAATGCAAGCCTTTTCTCAAGGTCTTAATGAACAACAGCAACATCAGTCTCCAGCTAAAAAAGGTAAAATTTTGGGCAACCCCCTCAGGTCCCCTCCCATGGTGGGAGCTTTTCTGTCCTCTCAATAAATCCTGCTTTACAAAAAAAAAAGGATAAAATTTTGCCATAATTCCCAATTTCATCACAAAATGTCTTAGCATTCATATAAAGTTAATATTACTTAATTTCTTTGCTGCAAACCTACATACATAGAAAATTTTATTGTATTTTTTAGATTGATTTCTGTATATATTAGTCAGGATATTGGTTTGATTACTCTAGAGACCAGAGTAACAATAACTTAAATAAGATAGAAGTTTATTTCTTGATTTTCTGTATTATTTAAAATTCTGAGCACATATACTGGTATTGCTCTATGAAATTACTGTTGCCTCATTGTTATCTTATTGCTGTGCCGTTCTCAACAGATAGCTCAAGATAACTGCCTCTGCTCCTTCCATTTTGTCCTGTATCTAGCCGTCATGAAGGAGAAAAGGGGGAAGGAAGTTCTCCTTAAGAATTTGACTCCGAAATTACACATATTACTTCCACTCAAATTCCATTGCCAATACTTTTTTTTAAATTAAGAAAGGTGGATTTATTAAAGGAAAGATATGTTGTGAAGGGCACAACGGGAAGGACAACAGCAAGTGTCTGCTGTCTGTTGCCCCTTTTGCAAAGACTTAATCACTCTGTGCTTAGTGACGGGAACAGACTAGGAAGTGGAGTCTTTAGCTGTATAGTCCAATAATTCTATTACTGAAGCAGAAGGAAAAAACTGCTCTTGGGGGAGAACCAATAATCTCTCCAAGACTAGCCACTTTAAATAAAATAAAATAATAATGATTTAATTTAGTTTCTAAATTTTTGCCAATCATTTTTATGTATGTAGGTTTTAAAGTTTAAAAGTACAAAAAGGCTTTATTAACTTTTTTCTCATATTTGTCATCATATTTCTAAATAAAATACTATATTTAAATTGTTTACACAGTTTTGATATTTTATATTGATGCCTCATCTTGTAAATGAGAGCCTAAGTCTTCCACATCAGTCCTCTTACTTCTCCACCCTTCTATCTTCATTCCCTGCCACACAGTCATTTCACAACTTTTAGTTAAAGTGTTAATCATTATTCATATAATATAACTGTGTAAATACAACTGCTTAGCCAAGAGATACATATCTCCTTTTTCATGTAACCTTTTTTTTTTTCTGGAGTTAATGTTTGCATTGTTTTTCATGTAACTATTGATAATTCTTTCCCTCAAATGCTCCAACTCTGTCACACTTATCTATGATATATATATACTCTTCTTTTTCCCCCCCCTACAGGGGACATTCCTTTCAGAATCTTCCATTATCCTATTCAGATATGGACTAGTTCTTTTTGTCATGGAATGGACTTTGCTATTATCTTGGGATATCCCTTTGTAATTCTTTGATTTCATTTCTTTCTTTCTTTCTTTCTTTTTTTTTAGTAATTGAAATAAAATGTACCATTGGCCATTTTTAAATGTACAACTCATTGGCTTTTAGTACATTCACAATGTTGTGTAACCATTACTACTATCTAATTCCAGAACATTTTTTATCACAGCAAAAAGAAACCTCTAACCTCTTAAGCAGTTATTCCCCATATGGCACTGATAAACACTAATTCTTTTCTGTCTGTATGGATTTATCTATTCTGGACATCTCATATAAATGCAATTATACAATATGTGACCTTTTTACAATTTAATTTTTAATTGATATATAACAACTATATATTTTGGGGGTACAATGTGTAATGATCAAAACAGAATAATTGGAATATTCATCACCTCAAACGTTTATCTTTCCTTTGTGTTGGAAACAATAGGCCATCCTTTGTGTCTGACTTTTTTTACTTTGCTTAAGGTTTTCAGGATTCATCCGTGTAAAACTATTTGTACTCCATTCATTTTTATGACTAAATCATATTCCATTGTAAGGATTATGCCACATTTTATTTATCCATTTCTCAGTTGATGCATATTTGAGTTGTTTTCACCTTTGGGCTATTATGAATAATGTTGCTATGGACAGTTGTGTACAGGTTTTTGTTTGAATACCTGCTTTCATTTTTCCTGGTTATATACCTGGGACCAGACTTGCTGGATCATATGATAATTCTTTCCTTAACTTTTTGAGGAACTGCCAAACCAGTTTTCAGAGCAGTTCTTCCACTTTACATTCCTAGAAGCAAGGTACTAAAGTTTTAATCTCTTGATAACCTTGTTTTATTTTTATATATATGTATAGCTTGTTTTTAAAATTAAAAGCAATCCTAGTGAATGAAAAGTGGTATCTCTTTGTAGTTTTGATTTACATTTCTCTATGACTAATGATGTTGAGTGTCTTTTCATGTACGTCTTGGTCATTTTTATTTCTTTTTTGGAGAAATGGTCTATTCAAGTTCTTTGACAATATTTTAATTGAATTGTTTGTGTTATTGAGTTATAAGCGTTCTGAATACAAGACCATTATCTACTATCTATTCTTCTTCTCTCTGATACCCTTCACCCTCCCCCCTCACCTCTCCTCCCTCCCCCCTAATATCACATATGTTTGTGTGTGTGTGTGTGCGCGTGTCTTTTTTTATTCTGGTTTCTAGACCCTTATCAGATATCTGCACATGTTTTATCCTCTACTATAGCTTGTTTTTTTAAAAAAATGTTCTTGATAGTGCCTTTTAATGTACATAATTTTTTTGTTTTGATAAATTCTGATTTATTTTTTCCTTTTGTTGTTCATGCTTTTGTCATATCTAAAAAATCATTGCCAAATCCAAAGTTATGAAGATTTAGCCCTGTTTACCTCTAAGAGTTTTATAGTTACATTTCTTATATTTGGGTTTTTGATCCATTTTGAGTAATTTTTATATATAAGATAAAAGTCTAACTTAATACTTTTTCATGTGAATATCCAGTTGTCCCATCATCATTTGTTACACAGTCTATTCCTTTTCACTGAATGGTCTTGGCATCTATTTCAAAATTAGGTGCCTACGGGTGTATGTTTATTTCTGGTCCCTGTGCCTATCTTTATGTCAGTATCACATTTTTTTGATTACTGTAGCTTTGTAGTAAGTTTTAAAATTAGAAAGTGTAAGTCTTCCAACTTAATTCTTTTTCAGATTGTTTTGGCTATTTGTGTTTCTTTGCAATTCCATATTATTTTTAGGATCAACATTTTTGTTTCTGCAGGAGAAGCCATTAGAATTTCCATAGGGATTACATTGAATCTACAGATTACTTTGGGGGAATATTGCCATCTTAACAGTATTAAAACTTCCAATCAACGAACACAGGATATCTTCTGGGTTAGGTCTTTTTTAACTTCTTTTAGCATTGTCTTACAGTTTTCAGCTTACAAGTCTTATACCTCCTTGGTGAAATTTATTCCTAGATATTGTATTCTTTTTGATTCTATTATAAATTGAAGTTTTATTATTCATTGATAGTATGTAAAATGAAGTTTTTTTGGGGGAGATATTAATATGAACTTATGAAAATAAAAAAATTATATAAGAGAATGTTATGAACTATTAGTTGTATGCCAAAAAGTTAGAGAACTTAGATGAAATAGAAAAATTATTAGAAACACAGAATATACCAAAACTGACTCAAGAAGAAATAGAACATCTAAATAAACCCATAGCAAGTAAGAGGATTGAATCAGAAATCAAAAACCTCTCAACAAAGAAAAATTCAGGACTAGATGACTTCTTATTGGTAAATACTACTAAATATTTAAAGAAGAAATAACACAAATTCTTCTCAGTAAATCAAAGAGAAAGGAACACTTCCCAACTATCCTGTGGTGCCAGTATTACTCTGATACCAAAGCCAAAGATATAACAAGGAAAGAAAACTACTGCCAATATCCCTTTGAATATAGCTACAAAAGTCCTCAACAACATACTAGCAAAATTTTATATTAACATTATAAAAAGATTATGTACCATGATCAAGTGGGATTAATCTCAGGAATGCAAGGTTGGGTCAACATATGAAAATCAGTAATTGTACATCACATTAACAGACTGCAAGGAGGAAAACACATGGTCATCTCAATTGACACAGAAAGAGCACTTAACAAAATCCAAAACCCTTTGCTGATGAAAACTCTTAGCAAGATAGGATAGAAGGGAACTCCCTCAACATGATATGAAAAACTCACAGCTGGAGAGGGTTTCAAGATGGCTGACTAGAAGCAGTTGAGGTGTGCCTTTCTCACAGAGAGGAATCAAAGTAGGGAGTGAGTCTCTACGCTCAAAGTAGGATGAGGGGAGGAACACACCCCTGTGACTAAACAGAGAAGTACTGAGCCCCGTGAAAGACAAAGTAATGAAATCAGACAATCTACTGATACACACCCAGGACAGACACATGGGTGTTTCCCATCATGGTGAAGGGCTGAGTGAATGAGAGAAAAATCTTCAGGAACCCACACTGCTGCCATGGACTCAGTGATCCAAATCAAGGAAACACCTCTGCTACTCTCTGGGCCATCAGGCCTGCACAGAGTCCTGAGTGGTGATTGTGCGGAGACATTGCCCAAGTTCATGTGGAACCCCTCGGGCCACTAACACATGTGCAGCACAGCACTAGCTCCACTGCCTGCCAAAAAGAGAGGCTCAGTATTCCTTTGTAGAGGACAGATGCTTTGTGACTGCTGCAGCCTCTGACACTGTTGCCCTCAGGCCATGGAATGAACAACCCAACATAGTGACAGCAAGCATCCCCAGCATGGACACTGCAGCTGAAATAAACAGAAGCAGCAAAGAGTCAAGTCAAGTTACTTATCACCCTCCCTATCTCGGTTGCCTTCTCCAAGTGTGGATTGCCTGCTACTGGCCACAGATTGTGCAGGGACCCCCATACCCACCTGAATGCAGGAGCAGAGGCTCTCTGCCTCATCCCTCAGGGAGGCCAGCTGCTAGTGCCATTGAGCATGCCCTTTCAGCGTGCCCCCAACATAGTCTTTGCAACCAAAATAAACTTGAACAGAGAGCAGAGAACCCCACAGCCTCCCCTATCTAGGTTACTCCCTGATAGACACAGACTGCCTGCTCCAGGCCTGTACATCATGCAGGGCACTCCCACCTGTCTTAATGCAATTGCAGACACCTGCTACCCTCAAGCAAGCCCACTGCCAGAACCACTAAGCAGGCTGCCTGTGATGTTGGCATGCACCCCCTGCAAGGTAGAACCTATAGTCAAAACAAGTCGAATCAGAGGGCTGCTGTGCATCCTCTCCATCTCAACTTTCTTCCTTTAGAAGGGGACTATATGCTTTACACCCCCAGAGGAGTGAAGGGGATACGATGCCCACTTGATCATTGTGATTGCGGCCTGATGGTCCTTGGAAAGTCCGACTGAGGTGCAGCTGCTGTTACCGCTCCTCACTTTAAAGCACCATCTACAGGTCTACAGCATGAACTACAACATATGACAAAAATCACATCTACAACTAGTAGCCCTTGAAACAGCCACAGCACGTTTAACTGAAATCAGGGAACCCATCCAGAGCATTTTCTCTGAAAGTACTCAGGAACAAAGTCAATTAACTATATACAACATACACCACAGCCAAATTCATAACAGACAATAAAGTAGAAAAAATAAAGCTCCATCCCAATAATATAGCAAACTGGTTTAAAAGCAAACAAAGCATCAGCACCCTCATATGGGAAGAAATCAGCACAAAAATTTTGCCAACACAACCAAAGTGTTTTGTTGCCTTCACATAATTACACCAGCTCCTGGGCAATGGATCATATACACAAAGAATCATCTATAATGATAGACATAGAATTCAGAATATGGATGACAAAGAGACTCATCAAGATCCAATAGAAAGTGAACTCCCAAATCAGAAATGCCATGAAAATAATTCAAGAACTTAAAGCTGACATGGTCATTCTAAGAAAGAACCACACTGAACTCTTGGAAATGAAGAACTCACTATAGGAATTTTGAAACACAGCTGCAAACCTTTCAACAGACTTGACCAAGCAGAGAAAAGAACTTCAGAGTTTGAAGTATAATCCCTAGAAGCCAACCAAATCAGATGAAAATAAAGAATAAAGAATTTTTAAAAAATGAACAAAGATTTTGAGAGGTATGGAATTATGTAAAAAGACCAAATCCATGTCTGATTGGCATACCCAAGAGAGTAGGAAAAACTGGGAGCACTCTGGAGAAAATAGTTGCAGACATAATCCATGAAAACTTCCTTATCTTTCTAGAGAGGCTGACATGCAGATACAAGAAATCCGGAGAACTACAAGATAATACATGAGAAAACCATCCCCAAGGCACAATCATTAGATTATCCAAGGTCAGAATGAAAAAATTTCAAAGGTAGCTAATGAGAAGCACTTACCAAAAGAGACCCATGAGGATAACAGCAGACCTGTCAGCAGAAACCTTATAATCCAGAAGAGATTGGGAACCCATTTATATTATTCTTAAAGAAATGCTAGTCAAGAATTTCTTACTACACCAAACTAAACTTGATAAATGAAGGTGAAATAAAGTCCTTCCCAGACAAGCAAGTGCTAAGGGAACTTGTTACCTCCAGACCAGCCCTACAAGAGATGCTTAAGGGAGCTCTAAACATGAAAATAAAAGAACATTGCCCAACCCACAATTGCAAGTAAACACACAGCTTACAGATCATACAAATCACCTACAAAACTGAGACCACTAAGCAACTCCTTAACAACATATGACAGGAATAAACCCTCAGATATCTATACTAATCCTGAATGTCAATGGCAATAATGCCCCCACTTAAAAGACAAAGAGTGGTAAACTGAATTAATAAACAAGATCCATCTTTCTGCCATTTCTAGGAGATACATCTTACCTCTAATAACTCCAAAGGGACTCAAAGGTAAAGGTATGGAGAAAGATACACCTCACAAATGAGAAACAAAAAGGAGCAAGGTTTACTATTCTTATATCAAAACAAATTTTAGATCAATAAAAGTAAAAAGGACAATGAAGGACAGTACATAATAATAAAGGGCTCAATTCAACAAGAACTATTTAAACATATACATATCCAACATAGATGCACCCAGATTCATAAAACAATTGCTGCAGGGAACTTCAACACCCCACTAACAGCTTTAGAGCATCAAGGCAGAAAACTAACAGAATCCTGGAATCTAGTTGGTCAGCATTCACCAACTAGATCTAACATCTACACAACATTTCACCCAACAACTACAGCATTTGTTCTTCTCATTTGCACAAGGATCATACTGCAAGGTTGACCCATACTTTTTTTTAAAATCAACCTTGAGTAAATTCCAGAAAAATTAGAATTATGCCAAGCATAGTCTCTGACTACAGCAAAATAAAGTTAGAAATCAACACCAAGAGGAATCTTCAAAAACACACAAATACATGGAAATTGAACAACTTGCTCCTGAAAAAATTTTGGATAAACAATGAAATTAAGATGGAAATTAAACAAATTCTTTGAAATAAATAAAAATAAAGACACAAAATACCAAAACCTCTGAGATAGTGCCAAAACTGTACTGAGAGGAATATGTATTGCACTGCATGCCCACATCATGAAAACAGAAATATCTCAAATAAACAATCTAATAGCTCACCTAAGGGAAGTAGAAAATCAGGGACAAACTAAAACCAAAGATAACAGGATAAAAGAAAACCAAAATCAGAGCATAAATAAATGAAATTGAGACATCTTTCTCTCTCGCTCTCTCTCTCTCTCTATATATATATATACACACATATATATGAAAGACTAAACAAGATTAACAAATCCTTGAGCAGATTAACAAAAAAAAAAAAGAAAGGAAGGAAATCCAAATACACTCAGAAATGAAAAATATGATATTACAACCAATCCAGATGAAATACAAAATATTACCAGAGATTATTATAAACATCTGTGTGCCTGCAAGGTAGAGGAAATTGATAAATTCCTGGAAACACACGACCTCCTGAGATTGAAATGGGAAGGAATTGAAACCCTGAACAGGCCAAAAATGAGCCATGAAATTGAATTAGTAATTAAAAATTAAAAACAAAAACAAAACTCTCTGCAAACCTAAAACGTCCTGGATCTGATAGATTCACTGTTGAATTCTACTATATGTTCAAGGAAGAGCTAGTACCAAAACTGCTAAAATTATTCCAAGCAGTTGAGAAGGAGGAATTTCTCTCTTACTCATTCTACAAAGCTAGCATCATCCTGATACCAAAAATTGCAAAGGCACAACAAAGAAAACTGCAGGCTGATATTCCTGATGAACATAGATACAAAAATCCTCAACAAAATACTAACATACTGCATTCAGCAACATATCAAAAACATTTTTCATCATCATCAGGTGGGCTTTATACCTGGAATGCAAGACTGGTTCAACATATGCAAATTAATAAACATAATCCACCACATAAACGGAAGTAAAAACCAAGGACACATAATTATCTCAGTAGATGCAGAAAAAGCATTTAATGAAACCCAACATCTCTTAGAATAAAAACCCTCAACCATCTAGAATTTGAGGACTTTCCTTAAAATAATAGGAGTCATTTATGAGAAACCCACAGTCAGCATCAAACTTTTTTTTTTTTTGAGTTGGCGTCTCACTCTGTCACCCAGACTGGAGTGCAGTGACCTCTCCTGGCCACCGCAACTCGACCTGCTGGGCTCCGACGATCCTTCCACCTCAGCCTTCCAAGTAGCTGGAACTACAGGCGTGCGCTACCACGCCCGGCTAATTTTTGATTTATTGTAGAGATGAGGTCTCACCAAGTTGCCCAGGCGGGTCTCGAACCCGTGGGCTCAGGCATTCCACTCACCTCGGCCTCCCAAGGTGTGGGATTACAGGCTGAGCCACCGAGCCCGGCTTCAACATCATACTTAATGACAGAAGTTGGAAGCATTCCCCTAAACACTGGAACAAGACAAGGATGTTCATTCTCACATTCCTCTTCAACATATTACTGGAATTCCTAGCCAGGGAAATCAGGCAAGAGAAAGAAATAAAAGGCATTGGAATAAGAAAAGAGGAAGTTAATTTATCTCTCTTCACAGATGTTATGATCCTATATCTAGAAAACCCTAAACATACCACCAAAAGACCCCTAGCACTCCTAAATAACTTCAGTAAGGTCTCGGGATACAAAATCAACACTGAAAAATCATTTTTTCTATACACCAACAGTATTTAATCTGAGAACCAAATCAACAACACAATCTCATTTATGATAACTACCAAAAAACACCTCAGAATACAGCTAACCAACAAGTGGAAGTACTCTACAGTATGAACAACACAATACTGCTGAAAGAAATCATAGATAACCCAAACAAATGGAAGAACATTCCATGTTCATGATTGACAGAATCAATACTGCTAAAATGTCCATATTGCTTAAAGCAATTTACATATTCATCACAATCCCTATGAAGTAAAACATCATTTTCCACAGATCTAGGAAAAACAATACTTAAATTCACATGGAAGAAAAAAAAGGAACTCAAATAGCCAAAGCAATTCTAAGCAAAAAGAACAAAGCCTGATGCATTACATTGCCAGATTCAAACTTTACTACAAGGCTACAATAACCAAAACATATGCTACTGGTGGAAAAATAGACACGTAGACCAATGAGACAGAACTGAAAACCCAGAAATAAAATCACTGTCTTGCCACCATCTCATCTTTGACAAAGTCAACAAAAACAAACACTAAGGAAAGGACACCCTATTTAACAACTGGTGCCGGTAAAGCTGCCTAACCATATGCAGAAGAATAAAGCTGGACCTCTTCTCATTTGCAAAAATTAACTCAAGATGGATTATTGACTTAAATCTAAGACCTTAAACTATAAAAATCCTAGAAGAAATACTAGGAAACACTTTGGAATTCAGCCTAGGCAATGAATTCATGAGCAAGACCTCCAAAGCAAATGCAGAAAAAATCAAAATTGACAAGAGGTACGTAATTAAACTAAAGAGTTTATGCATTACAAAGGAGATCATCAATAGAAAAAATAGACAACATACAGAAGAAAAACATTTGCAAACCATGCATCTGGCAAAGGACTAATATCCAAAATCTATAAAAAAAAAACCTCAAATGAATTGACAGGGTAAAAAATAACCACTTTAAATGTGGGCAAAGGACAAAAACAGACACCTCTCAAAGGAAGACATACAAGTAGACATATGAAGAAATTCTCAGCATCACTAATCATCAGAGAAATGTAAATAAAAAACCACAATGAGATAGCATCTTACACCAGTCAGAATGGCCGTTATTAAAAGTTCAAGAAACAACAGATGTTGACAAAGTTGTGGAGAAAAGAAAATGCTACTACACTGTTAGTGGGAAGGTAAGGCAGTTCAGCCCCTGTGGAAAGCAGAATGAAGATTTCTCAAAAGAACTGAAAATAGATTTACCATTTGACAGCAATCTCACTACTGGGTATATACCCAAAAGACCACAAGTCACTCTATCAAAAAGACAACTGCACTTGTATGTTTATCATAGCGCTATCTACAATAGCAAAAACATGGAACAACCTAGGTGCCCATCAACAGTGGACTGGATAAAGAAAATGCAGTACATATACACCATGGAATGCTATGCAGCCATAAAAAGAAAATCTTGTCCTTTGCAGCAACATAGATGTAGCTTGAGGACCATCATTCTAAGCAAATTATCACAGAAACAACTGAATACCACATGTTTCCAGTTATAAGTGGAGGCTAAACACTGAATACAAGCATGCATAAGGATGGGAACAGATACGGGACAGATATTGGGGACTCCTAAAGTGGAGGGGAGTAGGGTGGAAGGATGGTAAGTGTTGAAAAACCACTCATTGGGTACCATGCCCACCACCGCATTGACAGGCCTAATAGAAGCCCAAACCGTCCCATCACCTCAATATACTCCTTGAATCTGAAAAAATAAAACTGTGGCTGGGTGTGGTGACTCAGAGGCCTGCAGTCCCAGCATTTTGGGAGGCAGAAGCAAGAGGGTTTCCTGAGCCCAAAAGTTCAAGACCAGCCTGAGCAACTTGGTGAAATCTCATCTCTACAATAAATCAAAAAAATTAGCTGGGTGTGGTGGCATGCGCCTATAGTTCCAGCTACTTGGAAGGCTGAGGTGGAAGGATCACCTGAATCCAGTAGGTCAAGGCTGCGGTGGCCTTCGTGAAACTTCAAGTCAAAACAAGTAAATATGGTTAATTTTTTAAAAATTCACAGCTAACATCATAGTCAATGGCAAAAGACTGAAAGTCTTTTTCCTAATATTAAGAACAAGATATAAGGATGCCCATTTTTGCCATTTGTATTCAATGTTATACTGGAACTTTCTTGCCTGCAGTTAGGAAAAAAAAAAAAGAAAGAAAGAAAAGGCATTCAAATTGGGATGAGGTAAAATTATCTTTATTCAGAGTCCTATACAAATGGTCTCCAACTTGTGGTGATTTGACTTACTATTTTTCAGTTTTACGATGGTGCCAAAGGGGGTATGCATCTAGTAGAAGCTGTACTTTTCTCACGATGTTGGACAGCAACCGTGAGCTGTAGCTTCCAGTCAGTCATGAATTTTTGTCATACACTATTTTTAACTTACGCATTTGTCAGTCCACAACCTTATTGTAAGTAGAAAAGCACCTGTATATATATAGAAAATTGTTAGAAATCCTCATAAATTATTAGGGCTAGTAAGTGAATTAGACAAAATTGCAGGATACAAAATTATTTTTATTAATTTGAGTCTTTTTTTCTTAGTCATTCTAGGTTTATCAGTTTTTTCTTTTCAAATTATCAACTTTGGTTTTGTTGATTTCTGTTGTTTTTTCTGTTCTCTGCTTCATTTACCTTCACTCTGATCTTTATTATTACCTCATTTTTCAAGGAAGAAATTAATAGAAACTTTCCCTAAGGAAAGTTTGCTCTTTTTTCTAGTTTCTTAATGTTTAATGTTAGATATTAATTTGAGCTATTTCTTGTTTTTTAATGTAGGTATTTATCACCATAAGTTTTGCTCTGAGTACTGTTTTTGCTGCATCTCCTAAGTTTTGGTATGTTGTGACTTTGTTTTCATTTGTCTCATTCATTTTCTAACACCCTTGTTATTTTTTCCTTGATCCATTGTTTGTTTAAACATGTTTTAATTTCCAGGTGAAATCTCTAGGTTTACTTTGGTTATTGATTTATAGTTTTATTCCACTGTGATCATAGAAGATACTTTATATTATTTGAATCTTTAAATTTATTGAGACAGTTTTGTGGCCTAACATATGGTTTGTCCCAGAGAATATTCCATATGCACTTCAGAAGAATGTATATTCTGCTGTTGTTGAGTGGAATGTTCTATATATGTCTATTATGTTAGTTGGCTTGGAATGTCATTTATATCTTCTTTTTTCATACTGACCTTCTGTCTAGTTTTTCTATCCATTATTGAGAATGAGTTATTGACGTCTCCAATTGTTACTGTTAAAATGTCTGTTTCTGTGCTCAATTCTGTCAAGTTTTTCTTTCTGCTGTTAGGTACATATATGCTTATAATTGTATATATCTTCTTGAAGAATTAATGCTGTTTTTAATAATTGCATAATGCTCTTTTTGTCTCTTATAACTATTTTTTGTCTTAAAATCTATTTTTGATATTAGTACATTTACATTTAATGTAATTAACTAATAAGGAAGGATGCCTCCCTTTTTTGTTTTTTAATTCCTTTATTATTGTTTCTTTTGTGTTTAATAGATAATTTCTAGTATACTACTTTTTATTTTCTTTTCGTTTGCTTTACTATATATATATATATTTTTTGTTGAGTTGGAGTCTCACTCTGTCGCCCAGACTGGACTGCAGTGGCCGCTCCCGGCCACCGCAGCCTCGACCTGCTGGGCTCCGGCGATCCTTCCGCCTCAGCCTTCCAAGTAATCAGAATTACAGGCATGCGCTACCACACCCGGCTGAGTTTTTGATTTACTGTAGAGATGAGGTCTCGCTGCCCAGACGGGTCTCGAACCCGTGGGCTCAGGCAATCCACTCATCTCAGCCTCCCAAAGGCGCGGGATTACAGGCTGAGCCTCCAAGCCTGGCTACTATATGTTTTTATGTTCCTAGTTCTTGCCCTGGGGATTCACTTAATTTATAAAAACTAGTTTTAATTAATATCAACTTAGTTGCAATATTGTGTAAAATGTTACTCCGCTGTATCTCCATCCCTACCTTTCTGTGGTCAAAAATTCTATTTTTATATGTTGTGTAATCTATCAACCTAGGTTTATAATTATGCATTTTTATGTACTTGTCTCTTAAATCATGTAGGAGAAAAAGATGAATTTTATTCTGAAAATTTATTGATGTTGACTTTTCTATTTACCAATGTAGTTACATTTACTAGTATTCTTTATTTCTTCATGTAGATTCTGGTTATTGTGTACTATCCTTTTATTTCAGCTTGAAGGATTCTCTTTAACATCTTGTGAGATAAAATTAAGTATCTCAGTATTTGTTATCAGTGAATGTCTCAATTTCTCTTTCATTTTTGAAGGAAGTTTTGCCAGATACAGATTTCTTGGTTGAACATTTTTTGCTTTCAGCAGTTCGCATAATGTCATCCCATGCTTTTTGGACTCCATGGTTTCTGATGAGAAATAGCTATTCATCTGATTGAGAATCCTTTGTCAGGATGAATTGCTACTCTCTTTTTGAATTCAAGATTTTCTTTATCTTTTGATGGTTTGATTATGCTGTATTTATGTGTCAATCTCTTTGAGTGCACAGACAGGTGCTTCCCAACTTTTGATGGGGTTACTTCCCGATAAACTCATCATAAGTTGAAAAAATCCTTAAGTTGAAAGGTAGGCCAGAGAATCTTTGGTGAAAGAATCACCAGTGCTTAAGGTCTGAAACCTTGTATTTATGAATTGCTTCCATACCATTGTAAAGACAAACAATTTTAAGTTGGACTATCATAAGTCATGGACTGTATTCTATTTGTAGTTTGTTGAGTTTCTTTGATGTATAGATTTTTCTTCCATTATTTCTTCAGATGATATTTCTTTCCCTTCCTCTCTTTTTTTTCCTGGGACTTCCATTATTTATTTGCTGGTATGCTTAATGGTATCCCACAGGTGTCTTAGATTCTGTTCATTTTTTCATTCATTCTTTTTTCTGTTCCTCAGACTGAATAATGTCAATGGAGTTATTTTTAAACTTGTTGATTCTTTCTCCTATCTGCTCAAATCTGCTGAATTTTTAAACTTGTTGATTCTTTCTCCTGCCTGCTCAAATCTGCTGTTGAACTCTTCTAGTAAATTTTTCATTTCAATTGCCGGGCTCGGTGGCTCAGCCTGTAATCCCGCGCCTTTGGGAGGCTGAGGTGAATGGATTGCCTGAGCCCGCAGGTTCGAGACTCGCCTGGGCAGCGAGACCTCATCTCTACAATAAATCAAAAAATTAG